TGTACACACATACCTCTGCATTTACACACACGTCCAGAGACACATGCACCTACTCACTTGCACACCCAGACACATGCACACACACATGTGTGCACACACGCATCTACATATGCACACACACCCAGACACTCAGATACACGCACGCACACACATACACACATGCACACACATACACGTACATGTACACACATACCTCCGCATTTACACACACGTCCAGACATACACACGCCAATATACCTCCACACCTCCACATACACACATGCACACACATCTCCACATACACACATCCAGACATACATACACACACAAATATACATCCACACATACAAACATGTGTCTGTACACACACACACATCCAGACACACACACACTATGAGTTGACATCATGCATTAGATGTTCTGAGATGCTGAACATGCGTGTTCTTCCGCACGTCCCCAAACCACGGAGACCATGGACGTATGACACCTGTTCATCCCGTGGACAGAAAGAAACTCTGAGATATTTCTAAGACCCACCTTTTCCCACTCTTCCATATCCAGACCATCTCAACGGCTGCAAGCTTTACCTCCTAATAACATGTCCGGAAGCGACCCACTCTGTCCGTCTACACCACCGTCTGTCTGGCCTCAACTACTGCCGTCCCCTGGCTGCACTACTGTGATCACAGCACGGTTCCCTTTGCCTGGGATAGTCTTCCTTTGCCCTTCATATATGAACGTGTCTCTTCTCTTATAGTTCAGGTTGTACCGAGGGAGCATTCGGCGGTCTCCCATGTATGTTAACCCGCGTTGTGTCCTATTTAACTCCATGTGTCTCTCTTACAGAGCGTATCACTGTTGTGGTTTTGTACTTAATTGTGTGACTCGATTAACGTTTGCCTCCTCCCATGACGAAGCTTCTCGGGGGCCACACTGGTTTGCATTCGCTGTCCCTATTGTATCTCAGCATCATGGGACACAGGCATTCCGTGTGTACCGCTGAGTAAATGAAGCAATGGTTGACATCACTGATGCTTTGAAAGAATGTGCTTTTCATGTTTATTTTTCGTGTGATTGGAGCAGTCCCCGCAGAATCTTATTCATCGTGATTACTTTCCCACGTGGACTGTAGGAAGAGAGCCCTCATACAGTGTTTGAGTTTTCAGAACGTTTGGATAACGGAGATCGGGCTAGTGGCAACGGCTGTGGGGCAGCCGCCCACACGTCTACACAGCCACGGACTCCGGTCTTGCTCCTTCGAGGATCCGCTGGCGGGGGCTGGTGGGTCCTTAGGGCTCATCATGACCACCAGCTGTGGTCACCTGGTGAGAGGCTACTTCTCCACCCACCTTATTTAACTCAGGTGTGGCTTTGCGACCTGCCTTCACTGCAGACGGGTGAGTGGACTTAACGAGCCACACTTCCTGGCAGAGACGTAATGTGTAAACTCCACACCGCCCGTCTGCCTCTGTAATCATGGAAACGTGAGGAGTAGGTGTCCCCGTCGGTCAGGCATCCTGGGTGACCGTGATGAGCAGCAGACCCCCTGGCCAGCCCGCAGTGGGCGTGAGGCGCGTGCACTTGGCGTGATGGCCGCTACAGTCTCACCTGCCTACTCCGACTGGTATAGGCATATAACGGAAGTAGCCCCTGGGGGGCCCTTTCTTTCTGTGCCACAGAACCACATGGTTTTCCCCAAGTCGAGAGGTTCCAGGGTGCCAGTTAAAGACAGCTCACTGCCTCTTGCAAACAAGTCACAAAAACTGGGAAGTAATACACAAGGGTGTGAGCACACACCGCTGGGTGAGGAGCTGTGGCAGGTGTCTTGAACACAGGGAATGAGGGCGGCGGTTGTGGTCCCCAGGGGCACACAGAGGCTCACACAGGCATTTACTACCTGCTGACCGGTGGCATCAGGAGGGTAATCCACTCCTTTTATTATTATTTTAATATTTATTTAGTTGCGAGAGAGAGAGAGAGAGCGAGCGAGCAGGGGAGGGGCAGAGAGGGAGGGAGACCCAGAATCCGAAGCAGGCTCCAGGTTCCGAGCTGTCAGCACAGAGCCCGATGCAGGGCTTGAACCCACGAACCATGAGATCACAACCTGAGCCGAAGTCGGACGCTTAACTGACTGAGCCACCCAGGTGCCCGCATTCCACTCCTTTTCACACAAGAGGGGTTTCAAGTGTTTCTCCTTAAAGATTTCTCCAGCGATTTACTAAACAGGTGAGCATTTCGTAAGTGGAGCAAGAGGTAAAAAATACAGGGCAGACACAGTGTGGGGTTTGAAGCAACCACTGGGGAAAAACCGGCCACATTTTCAGCTCTGTCCACAGAAGTGGTTCACAGAGTTGCTCTGTTTCACTGTCGTTTGCTCCTTTCATGGGGCTCGACGTAGGCTGATCGCCACTGAACCTGACACGGGCTCTGTTTTCTCTCCAGACGCCGGCTGAGATAGTCACGGAAGACGAAGAGATACACGATAACCCCTCTGATTTCGAAAGCATCCAGGTGAGCTGATTCCATTTTTATTTTGCATGGAATGGCCTGAGTCCACGGACCCCCTTCTCCTTTTAACGTGCTGGGCGGAGCTCACGTTTGGTGCAGAAAGAACCGTAGAGCCCAGTTGGTTCCAGGATACAAATCGGCGTGGAGTTAGACACATAGCATGTTTTCCCGCCGGGCTGTACCTTAGATCAGGTCTCTGGGGGCCAGAAATGACGTGAGTAATTTTAATGGCTTTTGTGCTCGCCCTGGTTACCTTTATTGTGCTTCGGGTTGCAGACTGAACACCTGTTTTCCCAACAGATTTCAAGATACATATTTAGAGGGCAGAATCAGGAGGTGGATAGCAGCAGGTGCGTGGGCGTGTAGGTGTCCGTGGACGGCACGGACATTGTGCTTTGTGAGTCGTTGGTGTTGCGTGAATAGCTCGTCTTGTTGGGGAAGCAGGGGCGCGGGTAGCTTACACTCCATAGGTGGAAGCATGAGCCCAGGAAAATTCTGGCTGCGTGGCTTCCGTGTCTGATCTTTCCTCCACCAGCTGCTGGAGGGGCACCGTCGATGCGGGAAGCACGTTCCCGTGGTGACTCGTCTGTGAGATTATGTGACTCGTCTACAGGAAACGTGTGTGTCGGGCAAACAAAATGTCCTTTTATCTTAATTTTTTAATTGAAGAATATATGGCAGGTAAAGCTAATTAACATACCCACCACCACAGAGAGTTACCATTTCCTTCCTTCCTCCCTTCCTCCCTCCTTCTCTTTCTTTCTCTCTCTCTCTCTCTTTTTCTTTCGTGGTGAGAACACGTCAGGCAAAATTTACTTTAAATACACAATTCATATAGGTAAGAAATATATTTTTGGGAATTTGTTGTCAAAATTCTATCTCTAGATTTTTTTTTTTTTCAAGCTGGTTTCTTGTTTTAAAGTTTTTGGCCCCAGGCAGGAGGTTGCATAGTAAGTCTGGGGTGTCAGGTCTGAGTCTATTCTGCTGCCGAAGCTTCCAGAACTGTAAATAAACCTGAGGATGCAACGGCCTGGTGAACCATCCCTTTCCACTCTTCAATGTGCCCGGCGGCCTCCTGGCTCCCACATTTAAGGACAGGGGGAAGTGACCCCAGGGGGCCACTGGGAGGGGGCTGGAGCTAGTGGGAGTTGTCTCCTGTCTCTTGCCCACCCTGGAAAGGGCATTTGTGGAAAAGGAAGTCTGGGGTTTTCAACATCAGTGGAATTTATGATCTAAAACAGCCAGCCAAAGGGAACACTCTTTCAAGCAATTCACTTTTTCTTCCTTACGTTCTTAAATATTTTTGATTTGGAGGCGGTTTTCAGTGAAAGTGTGTAGTCTGTATCTAGATGAATCAGGAAGACTTTGAAATGAGGAGGAAAGAGAATATTTCGTTGCTTCGGTGACAAGAGCGTAAGACTGTGTTCTGAGAGTCGGCGCAGTGTCTGTCCCCGAGCGTTAGGTGAAGGGTCACGCGGATCACCTGCTTGCACTGGGGCAGTAGTGGAGAGCGGTGCTAATGTTTCAGTTATGGAACAACCGAACGCCACATGTTAATAGAAAGAGGACACAGGCATCGCGGTGACACTGAGTTTGTGCTAGAACTTGAACGCCTGTGTGGACCAGCCACTGACCTTGGTCAGCCACACCTTGTTGACTCGTTACGTAGATCTCCTTTGGCCTCTGGGAGTGTTTCGTGTGCATTAGTAACTTGACATCAGTCAGCAGATTTAATTTCTTAGAGTGAATCAAAGTGTCTTTCTTTTTTTTAAAATTTTTTTAATTTTTGAGAGAGAGAGAGAGAGAGAGAGAGAGACAGAGCGTGAGCAGGGGAGGGGCAGAGAGAGGGGGAGACACAGAATCCGAAGCAGGCTCCAGGCTCTGAGCTGCCGGCACAGAGGCAGATGTGGGGCTCAAACCCACAGACTGCGGGATCATGACCTGAGCTGAAGGCAGACACTTAACTGACTGAGCCACCCAGGTGCCCCGAAGTTGATTACTATATTTTTTTAATAATAGGAAAAGGAAGATGAAGGGTCTTATGAAGATAATGGAAGAAAGGTTTGTACCCACAAATTCAGTACTTTTTGTGTTTTGTATTCCGAGGACAGACCTAACAAGATGATCAGCGGATTCCCAAATGTTGCCGGGTGCTTTCTAAGGAATAGAACTTCTATGCCGCTGTCCTTTACCGTAGCTCTGTTTCCACAGATAGAAAGCAAACTCAGGAAGCGAGAGGTCATTAAGGCATTTCAGAGAGTGGGACAGAGCCGCCCTGATGGCAGATGGGAGACAGGAGAGTGAAGACTCCTTCACGGAAGGGGAAAAAAGAGTCATGCATTAGGGAACACCCTCGATACCCTCGTAAGTCAGCCGTGAGCAGGCACCTGCTGACCCTCACCTGGGCTTTCCGGGGAGCTCTAAAACCTGCACCTTCAGGCCATGACCTGGCCACGAGGCCAAGGACAAACGTGTCAACACGTGAGGGCACAGGAGGACGGGCTCCCCGTAGTCATGAGATTTAGAGCCGCCTGCCTGGACAGCTGGCCCCACGGGGCAGGCAGGGACACAGCCACGTCTACCGTCCTGCCCTCCCTGCCGTGGCTCCAGCCTTCGCACAATCAAGGTCTCACTGTTACTTATAAATGACTGAGTGACCGTAATGGTTTTTGTCTGAGTACGCAAGATTCTATTTACTTATACCTTGGTTCACTTAGACTCCTCATCACTCCTTAGAGAACTTGGGCCATAAATACTCATATTTGGGAATTACCCGATCAAAACCGGCATGTGAAAACTACTTGGGATTTGACATGAGATCCACCTACGGTTGAACGCTCCATCCATCACTCACCCGTATGGGAGCCTTGGGAAAACCCTGTGGAATCCCAGAGCCTCGGTTTCCTCCTTGGAAGTTTGTCCGATGGTTTATTTATAGCAAAATCGACCTCCAGGATTAGAGACGGTATATATGAAATATGCTCGATGTTATGAGTTTTATTTATGTTCTCAGAGATAACTGAATTGTAAGAGAATCCTGACAGCACGTGGGGAGAGGCCCACGCGAGCTACGGTCCCGTCTGCGAATGCATCCCTAGCATGCAAATGGGCACACGGCCGTGGGAAAGTGCTGTGTTCTCGTCCGAGCTCTTCCATAAATTTTCGAGGTGCCCCTTGTTCAGAAAGTTTACCTCGCTGCACTTCATTAATTCAATCAACAGTCATTTTACATGTTTATAGGTTTAGTCACCTCAAAAGAATCCATTGAGACCGTGGATTTGAAAGTTCTTGAAAAGTGTAACATAGCTATGTTTTAAAACGATGTTTTATTTATTTATTTGTTTGTTTATTTATTTATTTATTTACTTATTTATAAACAGTGTGAGCTGGGGGAGGGGCGGAGACAGAGAGAATCTCAAGCAGGCTCCACGCTGTCAGCACAGAGCCTGATGCGGGGCTTAAACTCACGAATTGTGAGATCATGACCTGAACAGAGATTAAGAGTCAGACGTCTAACCTGCTGAGCCACCCAGGCACCCCCGATGTTTGTATTGTTTTAAAGAAAGTGTTTTTCAGTTGGAAGTTGGACACTTTCCTGCTCCCGATCGCAACTCTGTTGTTAAAATCAGCGGAATCAATTTCGTTATCTCCAGTTCCGTCCCCAATTCCGTTATCTCAGCAACCAGTCTGTCCACACTTTGCTGGGAAAACGGTAACGGGCCTCCCTGGTGACATCCTGTGAGCTCAGATAACGTCCTTTAGGTTGTTGTGTCAGGCGGTTGTTTGGAAAGTATATCGTTTGTTTGGTCTCCGTGTTCCTTGCTCTTTGAGTCTGAATGTTTTAGCCAATGGGATGGCAGGCAAGGGCAAACCCTGGACCTGTGTCGACCGTGTCTCACGCGTAAACTGTGTCTGGGGCGCAGTCTCTCTCCCTTAGCCTCAGTTTCCTTCTGTCCCAAGCTGTGCAGCCCATATAAAATAGGACTATGCATGGAATACCTTCTCCGGTGGGCATGGAGTAAGTTATGGCTACTGCTCTCCTCCTTTCTAACCATGATCCCCACCAGAGCCTGAGGTCCTTAGAAGCAGGAGTTTCATTTGACTTATATTTTCGTTTTTCTTAGTGCCAGGCACACACAGTGCCTTATTCACAGTTGGCGTTAATTATATTTTGAAACTGAATTTTCTTCTACGATACCCCACGTTTTAAGATTAAGAATACTTTATCAAATTATAAAACATTCATATTTATTATAGAATTATTAACACACACGGATAAAAACTAGAAAAAACATCGAATTCCTCCAGTTAGCATCCGTTTTCACTTTTGTGTGTATTCTTAAGGGTGATTTTCCATTAACTTTTTTACATAGTGTATTAAAGAGATCCCATGATTTTGCTGATGATACAAAATAATTTTAATGAATACTATGAATCAATATTTAGGATACTTTCAGTGTTTTAAAGTTTTTTTCTCAGTGTACTTGAGAACATTGATTTTATTTATTAGAAATAGATTTAAACATTTTTGAAAAGTTTATTTATTTTGAGAGAGAAAGCAAGCACAAGCAGGGGAGAGGCAGAGAGAGAGAGAGAGAGAG